TTTTTTAATATTTTTTAAAGTTGTTGGGTAATGTTAAGTAAGAAGCTTTTTTGGGAGTTGAGTTATGGCCTGTCAATAATGACCTTATTCTGTATGAATTGGGGAGGGGTTTGGGATTTGTGTTTGTGTCTGGAGTGAAGTGAAGTGAAGTAAAATGAAGCAAAATGAAGTGAAAAGATATATTGGAGAGATTGGAGAGATTGGATATACTAGATAGAAATATAACCTTATACAAAGTGAATATAATCCTAGGTACTTTAAGATCTTATACTCCTTCAAGATCTAAAGATATAACATGTTCAAGGAATGATAGTCTAATTATTCGAATATCAACTGATTCTTTGACATGATTCTTACCTCTATATTTAAAACTTAATATATTAGATTTGAGAGAAATTGAAAAGGGAATGAGTCCTCCCGGGTCATAGGTGTGTTGGTAGCAGTAGAGAATAGATTCTTTTATTATAGGTTTAAGGAGAGATATAATTATACTTTATTGAATTGAGAGAATAGTGATAAATTAAATATCAAGTACTAAGTATCTGGTTTAGAATTATTCATCAATATATTGAGTTATAAAAGGGTTATTTGGGGTTATAAGCATAAATTCTGATATTTATATCACTAGGTTTTAGAAAGTATTAATCAAGGTGCTTGTATAGCTCAGATGTTCAGGTCAAGATGGGCAAGTTGTTCAAAAGGTAATAGGTTGGAGTATCTCATCATTGATTATTGATTAATTATTGTTGCTTTACACTTTTGGACAGACAATAGTGAGCAGAACCACAATCGTCACAAAATCTCTCCGTCTCTTCCTTCTCGAGCCATTTACGATGTCTATCAATGAAGGAAAACATCCTCCATTTCTCCCAGAATGTCGTCTCACAATCATCTTTTGGATGGGTGCAATGATTACTCTCTTCCTCTCTTCTTCCAACTCAAAAGAATCGCTATCTTCCCTTAATATCCCTTCAATCCACCACTCCAGCTCTGCACGCTTGTTTTCGGTAACCTTCTTCTGATCAATTGTCCCGCAGGAGTAGTGGATATATTCAGCCATCATACCCGGTACCGCGTTCCACTCATTCCGTAGACAAACTCGGTAAGTTAGGAGAGTCAGCAGGGTTAAAAAGCAGGCGAAAGATGTAAGATGGTGAATATTTTGGTACGTAAAACAGTCGAAGAAATCATGCCAGCTTGTAGGATTGGGGGAAAAAATTCGAAGAAGACAGGCGGTTATTGTAAGCCATATCATCAGAACGTAGATGTTTTCACTACAAGACAGACAAGATGGGGTCCTTGTCGCGAACCAGATAGAAAAATCGCGAGGCGTTCTTTTTGGAGTTGCACCTCTTTCTTTGTTTGTTCTGGTGTCCATGATTTTTTACGTAATCCAAAAGGAAATTTGGCACTTCTAGGCTCGCCAAAAGACTCGAGAAAGCTTCTCAAAAGGAGATAAGTGTCTAGATATAATGTAATCGCCATTTTCCAATGGTTTCGGACCCGCTGTAATTGAAGCCCACGAAGACATAAAAGGGATGTTAAAAATAAAACCCCAGCAAAAGTTGTTATCTAGGAAAGAGCCGTATCTTTGGCGTATGAAGTATACGAATGCCGAAAGATATAGAGTAGGTAAGAGCCGGTAGATGATAAATACGAGAGGACCTGAAATATGTGAACGTTTGTCCTAAGGTTCAAGTGTGGTAAGTTCCATGATTTCGATGGTGTTGTAAACTTAAGGGTTGGTGAATATCCAGAATATCCAGAGTGAGGTATGTCGCATGCTTTCTTGATGTGTGTGGGAGTTCGTCCTCTATATCCGACAGTTGATGTCAAGCGAAAGACCTAAGGACTAGCTCAGCACTCTAGCCTCTCCATAACCCTAACTGTCCTCCGATGGTCCGCCTCATTATATCTACACCACTTCTCCTACGACTTATACAACTGTTCTCTCTACATTTTCCAAGCCGAACTCCCATATGCTGAGGCTAAGCCAGATGTAGTTCCAGTATTTCCGTTCCTCGAGTACTGACGCCAAGACCAGGCGAATGCGCAACTCCTCTTGGGCTAATAGTGCCTAGTTGGTCCATCCCAGACACCCACAGTCGGTTGGGAAAAGGACTGCTAATCCTGAGGGACTGGCCAGAAACCTCCCAGGCGACGAGTCCCACCACCCACCCGGTCCTTCTTCACCGCTTAATTATTTGATGGCTTCCTGCTATGTTTTTGTTTAATCTCTGCCCAGGATTTCATGGTGCGAGCCATGACCTTGGCTTGCAGGAATCGTACAAGAACAGAAGAACAGGAATCGTTAGGCTAATAATGCCTACCGAGAGGGCAAAACGGTTACCTTTGGTCAACTTTTTTTTCCGTATATCAAGGCTAGTATTTGCTAGTGCTAAGATAATGTTAGCTACTCCTGAGTCGAAAGTTGTATTCGCCAGTGCCAAGATATTGTTGGCTACTCCCGCTGCGAACGTCATGTTTGCAACTGTTCTGTTTGAAACCCCGAAAGATCCCGCTATTCCGCTACCCAGAAAGCAGTTTGGGCAACACACCCTTGCACCAGAAATGCCAGATTTGCCGTCATCATTTGGTCGACCAATACTGACGGGTGGTGTATAAACAAAGTTATATTCAATCCAAAAATAAAGATGGATATCCCCAACTGAATAATAGGCAAAGGTTCATGTTTCTCAGCCTTAAGGGTTTGAAAAGCGTAAAGAGAGAAAGGAATGCCAACAGAAAGTATGAGGAGGATAAGGAAGTAGAATACAAGCTCCATGGTGTTTGCTGTTGTTGCTGTTGTTGTACTTCTTATTGTTGTTGTGCCATTGACGTTGTTATGATGTTGTTGTTGTTGCTACAGAAAAGATTTTTCAACGATGTAAACAAAAACATCTTCTTTTATAGATAGGTATTTATTGTTCCTTCTTCTTGATTCGGACAAATATTCACTATTTTGTTCACTGCGACTATGCACTCGTTCTTTCCAATTTCATGCCCATCGTCAGCGAGAATAGCTCAATCTCATCTACTGACTTAATATATGACATTGAATCTGGTTAATTTATTCAGCATTGTCTAGAACATTGAAACAACTTGAGACACTGAATTTGTCTAAAAAATTGAATTGATTTAGAACATTGAACCTATTTTGAACATCAATACCATTCGAGAAACTGCCATCACTTTGGATTTCAAATCCACTCAGCACATTAGGACTTCCTCAAAGCTCCTAATAATATAATAAATTTAAAAGGCATCATATCTTTTGTTCCTGTCGTACATCAACTTTATGTAAAGCATTGAAAGTGTTTGAGATATTTGCGTAACCTCAAAGTCTCTATTTATTTGATACGTTGATTTTGCCTAGAACAATGAACCCTTCTGGTATGTTAAGAGTATGTAAAACCTTGTAGTCATTTCATATATTCAAGTAGCCTCAAGGTCTCTCTATCTTGATATATTTTCTTGATGTGAAATAATTGACATGGTTAAAAGATTGCAATGGCTTGATATTTTTGAGTACTTTCAGATCCTGAAGGTCATTAGAACATTTTGAGCGTTATAACTACTTCAAGTTTTCATAGCCTATAGATGTACTGGCTTGATGAAATGCTGAAATCATTTTGAAGGCTACATCTTTCGGGACATCAAAGTGGATGGATTGGTCTTAACGAATCCTCAAAGCCCCTTTTCATGTGAAATAGCTGAACCGTACCAACTATCTCCAGTCGTAAGCACACTAGTTTTCTCTTAATACAAGCAATATAACTAAAGCTAAGAAAAGAGAAAATAATACACAATTGCTTTGTACTTATGACTGGAAGTCAAATTCTCCTTTAAAAGCTCGGTATGGATCCCGAATAATCTTATATTGACACTCATACTTCCACATTGACACATAAAGGGAACAACGTAAGAAATCTTATTAGCTCTCTAAAATTAAAAGCAACCTTTACTGTATCACCACTATACTATATCCACCATCCCATCCAAACTCCTACTCACACTTTAACCCCTAGAAAAGAATCTCCAATATACATCTTCTCTTCTCCTCGATTCAAAAATAAGAAAAAGAACTTCCATCGATATAATCGGTCGAGTTGAAAGAGAAAAGAAAAACAAACCCAAAAAAATAAAAGAAGTAATCAATTTTCCAAAAAATCTAAATAAGCCAATAAAATAAAAGATCTTGATTCGACTACAAATCTATCTCTTTAATCTTTATTAATTATCCTATTCCTATTATACGAAAAAAGGTATCGGAATTATTCTAAAAGAAAAACTAAATGTAATTATGAAAAATATAAAATATTACACCTGATGAAAATTGAGGTTAGCTAATTACCTAAATCTATTCAAGCAAGTCACTTCAGTTCCAAACTTTCAACTTTGTGTTTCCTCCCTCTCCTCACTCCCCAAAACAGCTCTATTCTTTTAAAAAAATGATATGTATATTTCAAGTAATCACAACACTCATCCAACAACACGAATCACAGAGAAAGCTTTTAAATTTTAGGGTTTAAATTTTACTCTTCTTGATTAATCTAGCTACAGATGCGCCTAGGATTTGGCTTCTATGGAACTACAAGACTCTAAGGCTTACACAAAGATGTGAGGGTTTATATACAAAGTCCCCCGTGAAGAAAATCCCAAAACTGTAAGGGGTTAAAAGCGTCTCCTTTCAAGTAGACCCGGTTCTCTAATTCCGCGGTGTTTTATGAATGCCCTTTGTAGATCTTGAAAGCATCTTGAGTGGTCTGGTGGTTTTTGTTGTGAAAATGACATTCAGCTTGGTGATAATCTTAGGTCTTAGTCTGATGCTACTCCGCTGATTGAGTGTTATTAGGCTCAACCCTCCTCCTCCTAACCAAGCAGCATCCCCTATTTTGTTCCCAAGAATCGTGAAGATATCGGTCGTCATTAGACAAGTTTGAGCGTGGGAGAAAGATCGTGTTATAGTAGAGTCCACTCCCAAGGTCCGGAGAGTGTTTCGGTATGCCTACCAAGACTTATCGACGTGGTCATGGCCACTTTGCTACTACTGCTTGCGCAGAGCAGAACAGAGGTAAATTTAATCGTCGAATCGAGCATGACATTCTACTACTGATCTCCCAGCTAGTTCACGTCTGTAAGTATACAAAACTACAAACCTGATTTAGAGCAAGAATGCTAAAGCTCCAACAGCGTATGCTTCGGTAGCAACAGTGAGAGTAGGCTGAATAGCTATTTCGAAAAGAGGGCTATGATTACCTTGAAGATTATTAGCTTTTGATGTTAAAGACAAGAATCATGATCATACCTGCAATCTCAGCAAGCTTACCAGCCTTCTCAGCTTCGTCCCATCGTTGTGGATCAATTCCTCCATAATTCCAAAAGCAGGAAGGTGTCGAGATAGCCAAGTTCGCAAAATCCTCACTGCCCATCGAGACTGGTCCATTGGGGGAAAAGTTCTCCCCGAAGTGTTCCCTCATTGCTTGGGAAATAGTATCAGTGGCTGTTTCATCATTGTATAGTAATGGAAACGAGCTCGTCTCTTCGATAAGCGGTGGTTTGGGAGAATCAGAGGCGACACACTCGGCATTGATGATACGCTCAATCGCTGCTTTGACGCGATTTCGTGAATCGGCAGTAAAAGTTCTAGTATTGATACGCAACAGTGCCTCTGAACTAATGACATTCTCCGTTGTGCCTGCCTGTAACGCTCCAACAGTCACAACAACCGCCTCCTGTGGGTTCGTCTCCCGACTCACAATCGTCTGTAGTTTCATCACTGTGCTGCATGCAAGAACTACTGGATCTACAGTCGTATGTGGACGACTTCCATGTCCACCTCGACCAAATAGAGTCGCTTGGTAGCTATCTGCTGCACTACCAAAAATCCCTTTTCTTGTATTGAGCATTCCTGCCCTCATGGGCATAACATGGGCACCAAGAACTACATCTGGTCGTGGAACCGCGTGTCTCTTCTCATCGTATAAACCATCATCAACCATAGCTTGTGCACCAGCGCCACGTTCTTCGTTTGGTTGGAAAAGTAGCACGACCGTACCCTTCCAACTATCCCGGCATGTGTGTAGAAGTTCTGCAGCAGCAAGCAAAGATGTAATATGCATATCATGACCACAAGCATGCATAACCGGTTTCTCAACATTATCTGTGATGTCTATCATTCTTTTGGTGCTTGCGTATGGTAACCCAGTCTGCTCTTGTAAGGGCAACGCATCGATATCAGCTCGAAGAAGAACGGTCTTTCCTGTGCCGGACCTGAGAATTCCAACGATTCCATGCCCGCCAATATTCGGCCGAATCTCAACCCCCTCAAGCAGTTTTAGCTTATCGTGAATCATTCTAGCTGTTGCGCTTTCTTGTAGAGATAGCTCCGGATCGGCGTGAAGTGTGCGAAACAGGGATTCATAAGGAACTAGATTTGGCCTGGCCTGAGATATGAGCGTAGAGATATCCATGGTTTCTGAGTTGTCGAAAGCTGCTGAATTGAGCTTTGTAAATGCTTCGAATGTGGTACAGAGACAGCTTTAATATGAACTATGAATTTGAAGAAAGTGGGATGCGAATTGACTATATCAATGCTTTTTGATGCCTTAGGCACTGATCATTACACTCACATTGTGTTATCAGATTATCAGACACTGGTAAGGAAACGAGTAAACGTTATCAGTGGAGAAGAAATAGCAGATGGTGCTGGTGGTCTCCCTAATAACTTCATTCCTCCCGACTACATTATAATCGGATTCTGAAGTTAGATTATTATCACTGAAGGAGCAGAGTAATGTGTGTTGAATTACGAGATAATTAACATATTCAGAATCGACAGGACAAGATGAATTTCATAATTCTAATGTAAAATGCATACACAATCGAATATCTGCATAATTGTTCTCTCGTCTTCTGACTAAATCTCACTGATGAAGTGTCTTTCTTCTGCGCATCTCAAAGTAACTGATTAACTCGTTGATTCATTGATTTAGTCGACTTCATTTCTCATTCCAAGAACTATAGGTCTTCCACTTCCCAACTGCCACGACTCAAATAAATGACTCGAACCTAACCTTGCAGATCATCTTAGCACGACTTGGTCGAATAAGCTTCTCTACACATTCTTTTTCCTTCTCAGAATTACCACTGTTTTTCCATCTATCCTCCTGCCCTTTGCGGCCAAAAAAAGTATATCGCGGATTATCCTCCGAATCTATACCAGAAATAGTAACATTTCAGCAGAGTAAATACGAGCGAATGCTAGAATCCTATCAGTATTTACGTACGTAGTAAAAAAAGTCAAATAAAATAAAATAATCGATTGGTTAAAATAAGGTTCTCCCTATCCAAACTAACCTAGAAGAGGAGTGTGGAGTAGAAGACTCGGCTGACGCGTTACTCGCGCTGCCAGAAAGTCTGAACTCCGACGCTAGAGTAATTAGTTTACACACCTGGTAGTTTGCGATTCTACTCTGGGGAACGTGCTTCTAGCTCCGGAGATGCACGTTTTTGGCCCCGCTGCAAAATTGTATCCACAAGGCATTGATTGCGGGGCGTTCCGCCCCCTTGAGTCTGTGCACCTCCATCTTGATACTTCGATTGCACTTTCCCTATTGTAGAATAAGGTTTTACTGTGGAGGTTTTTGGATAAATCGTGAAAGTGGATTCTGATAACTTCAAATACATTTCATCCACTCTACTCCGTCTTTCAGCAGGGAATAGAAAATAATGGGAATAACCTTATTTTAAAGTGGGGCTTGGTGCAATATGACGCTTGATTTTATCCATTATGCTGTGTTTGCGAAATTCGGTTAGAAGCGAGAAAAGACTAGAGCTGAATCGGGTTTTGTAGGACGCCAGTGTGTTCTTTGCCTTGTAAGCACTAATCAATACCCTTTTTAGAGTGCAGCAGTAAATGCACACTGTTGCACCTTCAAAACCTATGATTGCGTGTGGTATTGGACTAATTTCTGTCTATTGATCGAATATAGTACGATTAAAAAAAGGTGACGTAAAGCATGAAACAGTGGGGTCAGCTTACACTTGGCATATGTATATACATCTCGTTTCGGTATTTTGAATATGAAATTTGCCACAAAAGGAAACTATGGAGAAACTAATAATACACGATCTCAGTCTTAGGCATCGACAGGATAAGCTTCCTTTGTCACTGCCTGCCACTCTTCGTTCTCTGTGAACTTCTTGCGAATAGTGGCTAGCAATTGATTGAAGGCGCCCGCGATGGCGGTATTGATCTCCTCAACAGTGATCTGGCCATCATGAAGACTCTTTTCAACCTCTTCATAAGAGCTGTAGTGCTCTTCCCCGCTCTTCGTCTTTATAGAGAAAACTGTCCCCTCCGGGGCATTGGCCCCAGCAAATGACTTTTGACCCTCGGTAATTCCTATTCTGGTTCGAAGGTGACTAATAGGAATCAAAATGTCCCTGAGAGAAGCCATGACACCGTTTGTCAAGGCAGTTGCCACTTTGGTGTTCGCACCGAAGATCTTGTTACTGACTGTTTCAGCGTCGTCGGTGAGCGCAATCTTCGTATTAGGAGGGTGCGAAGATGACATTTTCCCTCCTTGAAGGTTGGGAAGCATAGGATTCATAAGATGGCCGCGCTTCTTGAATCCAAGTTGCGGCATGAATCGGTCCGCGAATCCGAAGATACCAGCCTGCGGGGTAATTTTGCAATCAGAAAAAATGATCACTTTCAGAGTCGAGGGCTGCTTACCTGGTCCGCGCCACCAAATTGAAAATCAATGTCGAGATACTCCTCTGCCAAGGACTGCATTCCAGGACAGAACATTGGGCTGAGCATGTCGGGGTTGTAGCTCCGATCCCAGGCATCTTTGACAGCCTGTTGAGGGACGATCGTACAAAGTCTCCATTGGTCCCTGGTGAATTCAGGTGTGTTCACATAGGTCGATTCCTGAACAAATTGCACCTTGCTTGCGGGAATCCCGATTGCCTCCATGGCCGCACTTATGACGAACTTGTAGTAATGCATACGCTGTAAAACTTGTTCCATAGGATACTTGACATTGTCAAGGAATGAATAGATATCAAGCAAACTAATCACAACCTGTAATCATTCGAATTAATCAAGGTTGGGAATGCAAATGGCAGTTGATAACTCACATCCACGCCTGCTTCTATGAAGTCTGCAAACTTCAAAATTGGAATGAAATATCCAATGTGTGCTATACGATCAGATCAGCGCTCGTCCAATTTGACTTGACTCCCATTTTCTGCTCACGCTTTCCAGTGGGTGATGTTGCTATTGAGAATGTTAGCTCGACTGTCATATGATATAGAGGATATGTGTATGAGTTGGCCTACCCCAGAAGCATCTTGGGTTCCTGCCCTCAGCTTTCAGCGAAGCTTCAATCAACTCCAAGCCTGAAATATTCTGCTCAGGAATTCTCTGCGTAATGAGATCTAATCTTGCAGCTACGTTATCGGTTGAGGGAGCCATTTTGATGAAAAAGTATCTAAAGTATCTAAAGAATCAATAGAAAACCAATTGTTACTTGTCGTCTCTTCCACACACAAATTGGATGAATGATATAGTAAAGAGACACGGCGAGCACGGAGCCAATCTCTCTGCTCACGCACCCCTTGATCAGCCGCGCCTGATGCGCAACTGAGTCGCTGCTTACTCTGCGTTGTCAAACCCTAAAGATTCAATATTTATTATGCAACTGATCGACTAAAAGTATATTTTTCTTTGATAGTATTGCAAGGAGCCCTCGTCTGAGCGGTAGATTATCTGCAACGAAAAGATCAAAGCTTATTTCCATTTGCCTCTGCTGCACGATCCCCAGTTTAGCAGCAGTTCATATGCAACCAAACTAAGCGAGACTTAAATCTTGTTTGATATGCAGCATACCTAGTCTTGTCTTAGCGGTGAGTAATCTGCAGGAAATAGACTAAAGAATATCTTGTTTTGCTGTAGCTGCAGAAACCCCATTTTTAATAGTAGCTAATATGTAACAGAATGACTGAGGTATTTTTGCTTGCTGGTATTTACAGGGCACCCCGTTTTAACAGTGCTTAACTGTCCTTCAAGGGCTGAATAAGATTTGGCATCGTGCCAACCTTGCTAGCAAGCAAGTTCTGTACGTACATTGGACTCTAGAGCGGTCTGGATAAAGCTCAATGTGTGATCGGAAAGTTACACTATTTCTTAGGCTCACTCATCAATGAGCGTAGAGTAGTATTTTGCCCAGCGTGGCTATGTTGTCCCACGTAAGCACATAACGTCGTATTGCATGTTCCACCTCCATGAGGGGAATATCCCTGTTGAGGTGAAAGCTTCGAGCTCGGCATACAGAATTTAAGCTACATGGTACAGAGCAAATGAAACTTGCTCGTGCGGGCGCCAGAAAGTATAACACAGTGCGTAGAAGAGTTCACCTGCCAAACTGATGCCCTGGCTAACTGAATCGTCTAACTTAATTAGATCACGCCTTTAACATTTTCAGGGCTCAATAGCCTGTATCAACTTGGAAGTATGTATCCTGATGATTAATTCTGCTCATGTATCACCTAATGAGACTTAGGCGTTCCAGTGGCCGTTTCGTTCGTTGGTTGGTGGATTCTTCTAAGCACGTACCACAAGATGGTAAACTACAAATAGGATATCAGCCTGCAATAATTAAAGTGTGCTATACCGAGTACATTGTGGTTGCATGGGTGCATGTTCGCAAGCCAGATCTGTGGGGGAATGGAACATGGGTCTGTGCAGTGGTGTGTTTTGCCTGGGAATGCAGCCATTGTCTCCATGCGCGGCTACTGTCGGAATTTTTGGTCACTTTCTCACAATTCCTCATAAAACTCATTATAATTGGTATATACGGAAAAAGACATTTTAGATTGTAGGTCCTGTGACCATGATTCTCATCTCAGCTAATCGAGCGTCCAGACTCCAGAAGACCTCAGAACTTAATCGCCTTCTCGGGTCTCAAAAAGTACACAACGTAATATCTCTTCTCAAACCCATCAGACGGCTGAGTAACCCGATGAAGAGGAGAATGAAGCTTGCCCTTAGACATAGCCTGCAACGAGTCGGCAACATTAACGAGCGCATGCCCTTCCTTCGGCACCACAAAACCCCATTCCTTCGTATCCGGCATTTCAATCTCGACGCCCCACTGATCACTGAAAACTAACGTCAAGGTACCCATGTCATTGTGCTTATTGTCCACCACATCAGACTTCTTGTGTTTGAGGGGTTCGTAGACCAATTTGAGACCAGTGCCACTGGGCTCACCGTCACGATGGAAGTCCTCAAATCTTTTGTCAGAGTCGGTTTTCAAAGCACCTGACAATGAGTTGAGCAAGGTGTGAACAACGGAGTAACCAGTTGAAGAGAACTGCTCAATAAGTTGGGATTTTTCGCCCAAGACTCCTGGAAGTGTGCGCTGCTTCTTGAGAATGTCATCGCGGAAAATCTGGGTAAGTGTTAATACAAGCTTCAGGAAGAAGTAATTGGAGACCTTGCCTCGAAAGTTTCTTCGTGTTCACCCGGTTTGTAGCTAGAAATTGAATTAGAATATACTTGTGAGATTTGGAAGTTAGGATAGTAACATACCCACCATCATCCTCCTCATCAAAAGTTTTCATTTTCAGTTCGTTCGGCTGGTCAAAGTACGTTTCTGAGACAGCATACAACTCCTTCAACTCCGCGAGCCACTCCTTGGTTGGCTCATCCCGGAGATCAAGCCAGAAGATTCCGGGCTTCTGGCAGACCTGAACGAGTTTTTCAATCTCGAGCGGGTCTTTACTAATCAGGCGCGCGTAGTTGATGCTCTCGAGAGGAGCAACGTCAACTTCACGACCATTTACTGTGGTTTTTTGCAGAGTGTTGTGAGGCATTGTGGGTGGCAGAATGTAAGGATAAAGTTTTTGATGAGAGTGTAAAAGAAGTAAATCACACGAGAAAAGAGAAAGTGGTAAATATGCTGTGCAAGTCAATCTCTACAGTTCAGCCGGCGGGTTTTTTAAAAACACCACCTCCTACCCCGCCGATCTTGACTGCAGACTGCTGTGGTCATCAGACCTTTTCCACAATGCGCCCATAAGATGATCACCAAACTGCATACAATCGTAATCGCATGAATCGACGTAAAGCAGGATCATCACTAAACCCCATTGGAGCTTGTACATCAGAAAGTAGAAACGAGATTTTCATTAAGGATTGTGCCATGTTGTGATGTCCGCAACGGGCAATACGGCTGTTTCCGAATGCAGGGGGGTTTAGCACCTACAACTTCTGTGAGCGAGGAGACTAATCGACGATCGTAGGCTGAGCCTAACCTCCATCCCCACTTGATCCACCTGCATGCAACGTTTATCATCACACATCGAGAAGGTAACAGGGCGTTGAAGAAATTTTAACTTACCCCAGTAGCCCTAATTTCGGGTCTTCATCGACGATCTGTATTTATCTTTACCATCGTTGGGATCATCATTGGGCGATGAAGATCTTATCCAATCAGGTCACCGAGTTCCATCCTGCAGATACTTGGCGCCTGCTGGGCGTCATTCATCACGATATACGCGTTGCTGCTGCATATGATTTACCGCGGCTTTCACGAAATTATTGGTCAAAGTTTATTCATCCTTGGTATATTACACTGAAGTGATGAAGGTGGGGCAAAAGAGGGGTCGCCAGACTTACTCGTGCTGGCTGAAGGTGACATAACCCCGAAACACTAAATCAGTCCTAATCGACAAAAGGGAGACTCTTGAAAATGGTGCAGATTGACCAATAAGAGAAATCACTTCCTAGCCTTCGGTGTTTTACACTTTTGGAAGTTATTGCTCCTTCGGGCCACTTGAATAGCGATGATTAGCCATATTTTGCCGCTTAACCAATAGGGGGGACAGCTTAAGTAGGACTGAAGCTTGGCGAACTTGCCTACGCCATTACCCAACTTCATACTTGTCCTGATTTTCTTTGAGGCTGTAGATTAGCCTGCTGAAAATTTAGAACCTCGGGACGTTGAGAAAATCAGAATTTTCTCTGCTAACTTCATCATCTTGCGATGCGTGCATAGAGTTTCGGCATTTGCTTACTTGCTGATAGCGCGAATCCATTTAATCCGAGAATAAGGCGCGTTATTTCTAATATTATTGCACACAGATCGCACGACTTGAGACACGTGAGTCGCGCCATAGTTACATTGTTTCTAGAGAGTAAGATGAGGAGTGTATTTTAGCTTTTAGATGCTAGTATGATTGCTGTGATTGGTGCAACTAACGGAGTCCGACATCTATCAGTTCGAAATTTTTAAATTTTTTAAGTTCTGTCCTCTCGTAAGCTTATATGACGCTTACATATTTTGAAAATATATTAATATTGATATAAATATAATTCCGTCCTGAATCTAGTCCTGGTTTTTGTCAAGTTGCACATTGAATTCAAGAACAAGACTTTTACAATCATGGAAGGTCTACACGTTGCTGTGAATGCTGATATCAGTATGGATGTGCTTCTGCGAAGCTTCTTCGCTGTCTGTTCCATTATACTTATAATATCATTACTCCGAATGCGCTTGATGACAGCAAGCCTACCTTTTGAAGGCAAATTCATGAAAGGAAAATGTAAGTTCTGCCGCAATCAAATAACTTGAGTTTTGACCGACCAGTATTTACTAACATGCCTCTTTAGCATCTTTCCCTGTGTCTGAGAAAATACAAGACAATGCTCAGGTTGAAGAGCAAATGCAACTGCATAAAGAACTTTACTTCAAGCTTCAAAACCTCGAAGACTACCCCGAAGTATTGCCACAATCTCGAGATTTGTTAATCTCACTGTTCTCGGAGACTCTTACAGGAGCGCTCCAGACCCCCAGACATGGGATTTTGGCTGTTGAGAATTACAGTCGTGACGCTGTAACGAAGTTCCTACTTGGTGAGCATGACAATACAGTACAGCTATGGGAGCAATACTTAAAAAGAAGGGAGGCCGGACAGCCAATGGAGATGTTTAGGAATCGGGAAGAAGCTAAATTGTGGTTGAAGCAAAATGCACCAGTGAAATACGTAGATGGTGCCTGGTTGGGTCATATTCACAAGGTCACGACTCCGTTTGCTTTGCGTAGGACGACAAAAGACACTTGGCAGGTGCTGTCTGAGGAACTTGGCGATGGAGAATTGGACAAGAACCACGTCTACATCTATCGCGAGCTGATGCGGGAAATTGACCCTAGCCTACCAGACGGAGACAGCCCCGATTTCATACATCCAAGGCATCAGCTCAACAACCCAAACGTTTGGAAAGCAGCTCTTAGTCAACTACTGATATCTCTCTTCCCACACGAGTTCTTGCCCGAGATCCTCGGCTTCAACATGCACTTTGAGCTCCTCACTATGGGTACGATGAAAGCTGCCAAGGAACTCGAAGAATTAAAGCTCAATAGCTATTACTTCTACCTACACATATCGATCGATAATGCAGACTCTGGTCACACGGCGATGGCTTTGCAATCGGTGCTTCGATACGTCGAAGAAATCCGCGCATCAGAGGGGGAAGCAGCTGCACAACAAATTTGGAAACGTATCCAAGCAGGCTACATTCTCTCCGAAAGCGTCCTTAACGCAAACGAATCCCATGGTCATGCCCGCCCAGTCATGGTTGACGTCATGTTCCCATCCAACAAGCGCGAAGAGGAAGTTCTCGATATATTCAAAGCCAAAGCGTCAGTGGCGCACAAGATTCACTGCAACAGCAAAGCGATGATCGGGCGGCGATCACTGATCGACTGGCTTGAGCCAAACGCCTTCGTATCGAAGCAGTGGCAAATGGAATTTTTGAATGACTTAGCTAACTCGAAAAGGTGGGTGTGGAAGGGGCATAGTAATAAGAGCTCACTAATACGGGAATTATCTTGGAAGGGCAAGATGTTCGGAGCCTTTACACAAAAGGAAGTAGAGATCCTCAAGGACTGGATTGATTCCTTGGGAACCCCGGATTCGGCGATGTACTGGAGATTTGTTGGTCGGGAAGCGACAAGCTCGACCCAGGTTCTTCAAAACCTAGACATCGCCGTCGACTATCCAGTCTTCTCACAGCAGCCCACAGCATCTGCTAACCCAATTTACTCGATTCCTTCCCCTGTTTTCGCATTGGCCACGGTCCAATTCGCTCCCAAACCACTCTTCCCCACCGACTCACAGCCACGTCTCTCTGTCCTTCTTCCCCTCTGGTTCACCCACCCATGTCTCCTTGAGACCACCATCGCCACGCCTGCAAAGACAACCAATGCAACCTCTGCCGCCATCCTGCGCCTGTTACGAGCTCAATCTGGCTTCTCTGCCGAAACTGCGATCGTCGCCGGCATGGATGAATTACGATGCACTGAACAACCTGGCTTGATGGAACTTGGCCAAGAACTCATGCGACGTCACGGACTTCCGGAACCCAAGTGTCTCAAGGACGTATTACAGAACAACACTGACGCCGAATTTGCGCATTCCATGCTCAGTTGGGCGATGCGGCCTGTAGCGAATCTAGGGTTGCTGCTTGGTTTGACAAAAGCGTTTGTTGAGTTACATGTTTGGGTAGCAGGGTCGGGTATGCTTTCCGAGAGTGGTGCACTGGCGCTACGGCTCATTATTGCAAGAGAGGAAGATTGTCTTGATATTTGTTTGAAGGAGCTGATGGGGGATGAAATTCGTCATGGGGAATTTTGGAAGGGATATGCACTTGGAAGAACAGAAATTGAGAAATGTTTTTAAATGGACTTATTATTGTAGCTTGAATTTGGAGTAAAGCAGGTTGAAATTGGGAGGCAAAATTTGGAGCAAATGTTATTGAAATTGAAGAGTAGCTGTAAATTTATGTATAGCATTATAGCACTGTATCTAACTATTGGTATTTGTTAAACCTTTGTGTGAATGAACATGATGCCGACTTTGTTTTGATGTCTTTATACAGCAAATTATAACTTTATATAACTAGTGACTGCAAGATAAAATCTTTAAACACTTCAATATTGTTAATCACTGAAGTTATACTTGTAGAAGCGATTTAATATTAATTTAATTGACTGTATCTACCCAGGTTGAATATTAAGGGCCAATCTCTCGAGATTATATGGTAGGTAATCTTATATTTATTAAATTGAAGATTTAATTCTTATTCACCAAAAACACTTGATGATGAACACAGCTCGCCGTTGCTATTCTCTCCCTCCCTTCTACGGAGTTTTTTCTCCAATATATGCATGCAGGTAACCTTTGCCACTCCAAAGTTCTCACCCATTTGTGGCTTCTCTCCAAACGGTAGAAAATCCTAGTCTACCGCGTACACATTTCATTTGCCAAGAGAGCGTCAGACAGCCTTCAGATCCCTTTTCCGTCATCTGACCCACCAGCCCTGAGCTTGGCAGTGGTACTCTCAACTGCCATCTTGGGAATCGCTGTCGACCAGCCCCCAAAGCCAATCATGGGAAATGTGGTGGGAAAAAGGATCGGTGGGGATGTTGGTGGGGATGCAACTAAACATGCAGGAAGGATTGAGGTATTATTTCGCCATGCAGAAAGGAAACCATGCAAATAGAAACCATGCAAAAAGGAACTGTACCATGCAAAAGTAAAAAGCCCAACCCATCGGAAAATTCAACTTTGAACAACTCAACATAGAAAACTCACCTTTTTTTTTTTTTTTTTTTTTTTTTCCACAAATTCTTGCTAACCCTTGCTTTGTTTATCAATATACAGTCAGGCTCAATTCGAACCCAAACATCCACGCGCACCCTACTATTACCCCTCGCCCCTCCTCACCGCCCAATCAATCAAATCCGTTAGACCTCCTACATTCATCTCCATCTACAATGGAATCGCCGTCTGCTCCAGCCATAGCTCATATATTCAGACTACCATTGGAGTTGCGGGAGCAGATTTACAGCTATGTGCTTCCTGATCAAGAAAGAGCATTTTCGGATTCAACCTCGCTATCGATAAGCGATCCTCATGACTGCATATTGAACATTATATGCTGCAATCGACAAATTTATGCCGAAGCCCGCGATATTTTACATCGCCGGACAATTTCCTTCTCATCAAGTCCTGATCAGGAATACCTCATTTCCAACGTGCCTTGTCTGCATGGGTTGGATTTTTCCCAAGTACCGCGTGTCAAGTTTGAACTCAATCCATTCCAATACACGACGACCATCCCAGAGCTGTGGAAGTCGCTGCTCTTACTCTGCCACGCCTTGAAAAGATTCTTCCACATCCCGCATTTACAAATCGAATGCGACGGCAGACTCCCACGCACGAAGCCGCCATTGTATCTTGACGAGACAGACCTAGATCGTGGCCCTTTAGTCACCGCCATACTGCTACAACCTTTCAACCTACTTCGCAACATTGGCCATGCGGAAGTCAGTATTCTCGGTGGGCCCTTGAATAACCTCTGGTCCAAGAACATCGCGTTACAAAATTTTGCAAACCGTCTCGCACAGCAACTCGAAGCTTCCGACGCGCCATACAGACACCATGGCATAAATCTCCAGCGGCTGCAGCATCTCTTGCGTCGAAATCCCGAATCTCTTTGGTATAGACATTCCTACGAGGACACCTTTGCGGGTCTCGTCCGGCCACCAGACACAAATGAAGATGTAGAGGAAAGCTATAGGTTTTTCCGGGCTATCCTTCCCTCGACAAACAACGGCACAAATGAATTCACATCATAAACCATCATGCAATACCTCCGCAGGTTAAATTCCAGGCCATCATCCTATTCTCTCGCAAGTTAAAGTCCAGTCCCCACCTGTACACCGAAATTTTTAACAACCCACTCATCGGTACCGAAATCTCCGACCTCCAAAACGTCATTCTAGTCCCCGCTACAGCTTGCTTCAAAATGTGCTCAATCTAGGAGCGATAAGCTATAATTAATATATACAGGGCTGGAGTTTTGTGGAGATATGGCCATAGTAGTGGAGTGAGGTATGGGGAATGGATTCGGAGGGAGTAAAGCCGGACGAAGGCGATAGGTGTATGGAGGTAGATTGGGAGGATACCTTGAAGGATAAGGGGGATGGGAGGGACCAGCTAAGACAGATGCTAAGAAGTTACAGCAAACCACCATTGAAGCCGGGAATCAATCTATCAATACATAGCAAAATACCAGATCAAAAGAATACCAAAAGACAAAATTGCAGAGAAATCTTAGATGTGTGGAAAAGATAGGTGATTAGTAAAGATCTCCATAATATTGGTCAACTTTATTTTATCTACAATGTCCGAGCCCTCTACGTCTATCCCCTCATAGAATTATTAGCGATAGTGATAAAAACTACGATACCCCTCCATAGGAGGTAAGATACTTTTCAAAATATAGGTAAGATTCCACCTGGATGACTTTGATATTGAAGCTACCTATTGAAGTAGAAAATCACAATCAAGATCGCAAGCATAATCATAATCATCATCAGAAGATTTGCATGTGATTTTTTGTAATTATAGTATAGATAGATCATAGATAGATAGATGGGTGAGGTAATGTGTTGTGTTGTGTGAAATTATAAGATCTTAATAGTTTTTTATGGGTGGGTTTGGTGTAGTGTAGTGTAGTAGTGTAGTGTAGCGTAGTATATAGTACAGGAGTGTGGTAGTATGGTATGGTATTGTGTGTAAAGAGAAGGGGGAAAATATTGAGTGAAGTATTAATTAGATTATAGGATTCATTTTACAAAAAAGATGGAGGATAGAGAAATGTGTATGGATGGATTTCTTATGGGATTGGTTGAAGGATGGTGGGTGCATAGGTAGGTATTGGTAGGTGCTTGGTGTTTGGTATAGCTGCAGGTGGATAAGTGATAAGTGATAAGGTGCTACAGCTTCGACATAGATTATATTATATCATAGTAAGTGAGTTAGGCTAGTTTGGTGTATACCTGATACTGACCTATAAGGTAATCAGAGATTACCTAACAAGTACTGGTAATGATGAATTACTAATATCTCATTTCTATTGGTAGGTGTACTCGATGGTTTAGATAAATCCATAGCCAACTTCTCATCTAAATCAATCTTACTCATTTTCTAAGCTTAAAAATTAATCTCAAGACCTACGTACATACCTAGCATCGCATTCGCATCGATACATCTCAAAATGAAAAATTAAACCAACACTGTCTGCTTGTTGGTCTCAAGTTTTAGGTTTAGGTAACTTACTTTAGCCTCAGATTCACCTAGCTGTGCCGCCGCCATCTCTGAAATTCGGACGAATAAAGAGCGATTGTTAAAAATCGGGAAGGTACTTGCGATCAATGGTGAATGAAATGCGATATTGTTGGATGTAAAACCCCTAGATAGAATAAGTGCATACAACCAAACGATCACCGATCACGATCATAGATCAAAGATCAACCATCAACGAATCAAACTTGTAACACAACTAAAAGTGATACCATTCTTTCAGACTCAGAGTGAATATTATTACCGTATATATCATCAACTATCTGACGTATACAAACTACACAATCCGAATGAACCAATCCCCACAACGAGAAAAAAAGAACATGACATCCTGTACCGAGTACTCAATGACAAAAAAATGTCCATATTCCCAATGAAGCAAGTCCATCCGAGCTGTCTAGTAATACACGACTCGAGATTCACCAACCAGGATAATTACAACGTCTATTGGCGTCCAATGAAGTCTCGAACGTTGAAAAATACCGACATGAGTCAATGCGTGACTCGTACATGATAGACACTTGGAAACTTCTTGCGTTATTCACTAGTGGATATTTTCTAGCGTCGGGATTAATCGTGTCACCTAATACCGATATGGTATTGATTGGATATGTACTAGTGTATCTTGTACCTATTGCTGTTTTTCCCCTCTTTTGATGCTGCTTTAAGAATTTTTAATAGATATTGAGCTGGTTCCCCCCTTCCCGATTTTTTAAGTTTGGAATTGGAAGTTGTGAATCACGAATATTACATGTTTTTGATCCGCAAATACCGATTTTACCTCACCATCAACGTAATTGTCTCTACTCTACTTCTGTAGTAAAACTACAAGCTAGAAACGATCGCTCAGCAGACCGTGCGAACTTCCTTGAATAAGTGGACTGTGGGGACTGAACCACAAGCCAAGGCTTGAAATCTCCGCTCATCAAAAACAAATCCCTACCTTTACTTTTCTCTCAAATCAACAACTCCGAACATCGTCGACTATGAGTGAAGAAACCGCTCAAACCTACCCCGTGGTAGCTGATAATGCTATCAACAGACACAAAGAAAGAGGTTTGTCAATCTAAAATGCCAATAACTACTCTTGCTAATAATTCCATCTAGGCAATTATGATGTCGAAACTGTCCACTCCATCTTTAATTCGACACCCGTTGCACACGTCTCATTTATTCCCGACCCCACCAATCCTGCGCCTGTAGTTCTACCCATGATTGCACGCGTCGGTCAATTTCCCGGTGACGAAAACCCCGCTTGCTACGTCCATGGTTACGTATCTACGAGACTTTTCAAAGTTGGTCAAAAGACTGGTCAATCTGATGGAATCCCCATGTGTATTGCCGCGACCAAAGTCGTAAATCTTGTTCTCGCTCTTACACCTTTCAATCACAGCTACGATTATCGCTCTGCTATTATTCATGGTCGAGCTACTCTTCTCGATCCGAATGAAAATACTGAGGAGAATATTTGGGCAATGAAGCTTATTACGGATGGTATCGTACCAGAACGATGGGATAACTCTCGTGTTCCACCTGACAAGAGTGAAATTACATCTACACGAATCTTGAAGGTTCACATCGAGAGTGCAAGTGCTAAGATTCGGGATTCTGGTGTTAAGGATGATAAGAAAGATTTGAACAATCCAGAAGTCCGAGGCAAAATCTGGACCGGTGTCATCCCGTACGTGGAGACCCTTGGAACACCAATACCAAATGAGACGAACATGGTCACGACTGTTCCTGCATACATTACAGAACATATCAAGGAACACAACAAGAATGCCGGAGGTGGAGAAGCAGGAAATAGTTTCGTCTCTAGGGTGGTAGGATCTATGTTTGGAGCTTGAGGAAAAGATGGAGATAGCTTTGTTAGTGTAAACTCGAAATTGAGTACCGGGATGAATCAATGAATACATGCTCCACTATTGTCTTGATTATCCACATCCTCCGTAATCAGTAATCACATAACCAGTAAACTATAATTTATAATTTAAGCCGGACCGGGCCTTTCCCACGTCCTTAACTATAACTTAAGGTTATATGTTAATTATAATTACCCGCGAAGCGAAGCGAAAGAAGGAAGGAAGGAAAGAAAAATAAAATAAAAACGTCCTTGGCTTGGAAAACTTTATTCTAATCTTACACTTACCCAGATTCGCATACGGAGTATATAATATAAGATAATGTAATATAATATTTCCTAATTCTTCAATTCCTCAAAACTCAAAAATCAAAATGGTTGGTGGGTGAGTTTTGAGGAATGAGGAATGAGGAATGAGTTATGGATGATGGGTTTGGTTTTGGGGAATACGTTGGTTGGAGTTTAGTTTGGGGTATAGATTCGGTTGGAGTTTGGGACTTTGGGGACTTTGATGATTCCGGGGGGTTTGTATGTATGTAGGGTTTGATGTGGTATAGTGATATATAAACATGTGTATAAATCGGGTTTGTAGTGTTGTTGTTGAGGATGGTGTTGATATCAGATGGTGTTTAGATTGATGTTGGGGATTGATGTTGAGACTGAGATTGATTTTGAGATTAAGGATGGTATTGGTGTTGATTTTAATATAAGATGATGAAGGGTGGAGGTTAGAGGATATGACAGGACAGGATAGGGTGGGATAGATTGTTGAGGGGGGTTATGGGGGGAGATTATTGTATGTGTGTAAGAGTACGATTGATGGTAGGTTTTAAGGTGAGGGGTTTTTGGGGGTTTTGGGGATTAGAGAGGTGGAGTGGAAGGTGGAGGGATGTTACGACCAATCCTAACAGCTACTCAGGTGACTAAGCTCATTGTCACATGACCCAATATTGTCCCACCTAGAATCACTCACCTACAGGCAGTGGGACATGATGGGAGGCGATGGGATGTATAATACGAAGGTCTATATAATCATGATGAATTTCCTTTGTATAGAGCTTCGTACTCAAGATCAATCATTTAGTATACTCTACTATTAGTTACGAATTGCATATCATCATTGTCATTACTTAAGTCCCTGCTTGACGCCTAGTTATAAACCACCTCGAGAGCCTAGAGCACTTCCACGTGATCTAGACGGCAAACCTCGTAACATGAGGCTATATTGGCCTTCTATATAAATCACCCATAATCTTAGTTCTACGGAAGTGCGAAGCTCTCCTACAGAGAGCTTCTCAATCTAGTCCTAATAGGACTAGTGCCCTGTGCACGTGCTACGCGAGAACCATTCACTTTAACAATTATTATATTCAATTAATTTAAAATCTTTTAAAAGGATGAAAATTAATAAAAATAACATTTTTAATTTTCTTTTTATAAATTTTTATTATTTTTAAAATTTAAATTAAACAAAATAATGAAATTTAATATGTAAATATGTCACGAATCGTGGTTTGGATTAGTGTCCTGAGGCAGATAAAGGATCACGTGATGGATAGACTGGATAGACTGGTCTATCCAGGCTATCCAATAGCAGTCAGATTGAGCAATCCAAAACTAGCTACAAAAGCAATCAAATTCATGGAACAAACGCAACTCCTTGGGCAATTTAGGATGTGCGAAGCAGCATAAATAGAAGAAGCAGATCACTGGGGGGGAGACTGAAGGTATAATGACACGTGATGGTTTGTTAAAGCAACAACCAAAGAACCAAACACACATCAAAGTTTAGATGAAAGCACTCTTGTAAACAAGTATGTATATAGTTGTAGATAAAGAGCCAGAACCGCCTAGCAGAGGAGGTTGATGGTCACAAATGTGTGATGAAGTGAAGTGTGACTTACCACATAAAACTGGTAAGGAGCATTTCGGCAACTGCGCCAAAGCTAGGCCTTTTCCGGCATAGCCACTGCTAACTCAGAGGCTGGAACCGAGTATGAATTAATCAATCAATCAATCAATCAATAGCAGTCAGAAGTATATAGTCAGAGTAGTTTCATAGTATAGGAGCTTCGTGCTCAATTTAGTTATCAATTAGTTTACCTACATTCTACTTGATCTAGTAACGAATTCACTTCCAAGTGAATACCAGTGATAAAGCCTTAACCTACAACTACCAACCAGACGAAACCTCAGGCAGCCGCTGCCTCGAGTACAGTATCGTTACAAAATAACTTTTAAAATAAATATAGAATTATAATTAAAACTGAAATTATGATATAATATTTATAAATGAGAAAATATATAAAATAAATCATTCAATTACTAAATCATCAATGTATATCATAATATATGATTTCCAATAGTCGGCTACTTTGAAGGCCGACCACTTCATAGTCGGGAAAACGTATTGTCCCGCTTCTACTATTGAACATGAGGTTTTTGATATTGAAACGCGGAGGTACCATTCACTTTCCGGGAACATTCGCTTCCCAGACTACAAAGTAGTCGATCCTTCAAGTAGCCGATTGTTAGTACTTTCTAGACCTAGACAGAGTAAACTAAACTAAACCAAACCAAAAGCAAAATATATCCGAATCCCAAGCATCTAATCAACTGCTGCAGTCAACTTCTTATTACAGAATCGCCTCTAACTAGTCACTCAGACAGACAGACACAGAAAAGAAGATTTACATATCGAATTAATAATAAGGTTAGCGCAAATAGTGTGTATAGCGTACATCACACTTTTCACCGAGTACAGTGTAACCGAGAAGAGTAATTGGTGAGACATAGTTGCAGCAGGGGTGCGAGGAAATGGTATGTTTTGAGGAGTAAGCAGTAAACGGGTGAGTAAACAGGTGAGTGAGTAAACAGGTGAGTAAATACCTAGTAGTATAGTAAGCAAAAGAGTAAATGATATAGTAAGCAGAAAAATAAAGGGTAAAATGATAAATAGAGATGGCGTGATAAAAACATATATTAATAGATACCTAGTAGATCGTTGAATACAAGATTCAATTGGCTTATGCATATGTTTTAGATCGATATTTTTTGTGTTGGATCGGCCGGTACTTGCCAGTTTTGTGGCGGTGTTCCCAACCTTGATGGATAGGTATGTAGGTACTTTTGTGTATTCTCTCTGTCCTTTCTTCAATTTTTGTCCTTTGGTGTCTTTCTAATTGTTGTATTTTGCTAAATCCTATTCTTTGCATCTCTCTAAGTGTTGATCTTTGCATCTTTCCAAATACCGTTCTTTGCCTCTTTAAATGCTATTCTTTGCATCTCTCTAAATGTTGTTCTTTACCCCTCTCTAATTCCCATTCATTATCATCATCATAACCTATTCATAGCCCATCCAAAAAATGAAATCCAAGTCCAAGTCCATTCCAAATCCAAATCTAATTCGAACCCAAATCCGAACCCGAATCCAAAATTATAAATAAAATAAAAATATAAACTTTTAAATCCAAAAACCCAAAGCCCTAAATCCATCTAAGAAGCACCCGAATGCCTCGTTCCTCTAAAAAATACCAAAACCAAAAGAAGCGTCGCAGCAGCCAACCCAACATTAACCCACTCCGCCGCTCTCAGTCCCTTAAGCATCGATGGATCACGATAAATTCCCTCTTTCCCTGTACTTCCCACCGCTCCCTGCACAGCCGTTGCAATTGCCAAACCTAGAGATCTACCAACTTGATTCGAGGTATTTAAAAGCGCGCCTCCAAGCGATTGATCGCGTTCGTCGAGACGACGTACCACGAAAAGATTAATTGTCGGTGATAACATGTCTGCGCTGATGCAGAGACACATGGCGGGAAAACCGTAGGCCCAATATGTTGTATTTGGAGAAATGGGTACGGCGAAGAGGAGAGGAGATAGAGTGCCGCAGATGGTTGAGAAGACGAGGACGTAGAAACCAGGGAAGATGGTTAGGGCTTTGGCTGTTACGAAGGATACGAGTACTATTACTATTTAGTCATTTTTGCCAAACACCAGATTGAGATTTATACTTACGGCCAGCAACTCCAGCTGGAAGGAAGCGTACTGTTGTTTCGATAACTCCTAGCCCGAGATAATCCTGATAACTAAATTCAAGTATTAGTTTTATGCTTGGAGACGAAAAAATATCTTTAAACTTACAAATAAGTCGCAAAGATCAAATAGCTATTGTAAGATGCGAAAAAACACCCGATAATAGCAAAAGCAGATGTAAACTGCATATTTTTGAACATGGAAACTTTCACTAGTGGACTGCGATCGGTACGCTCCAAATGTCGCTGCCAAAAGTAAAAGACCACCATTAGGAGGAGCGCTACCACAATGAGCACAGGAATCCAAGGGGTACTCCACCCAATTCCACCACCCTCTGTGAGAGCGAACAAAAGAGTAATCAAGCTTGTCGATATCAACGCTCCTCCAATCCAATCGACATATAATTTACTATCAGAATCAATAGTTTTCGCCTGAGGTCGAGGAATAACAATAATACCAGCCACCGTGGTGAAAGCGGCAAGAATAGCAATGATCCAGAAGACCCATTTCCAGCTGAGGTAAGCGCCGATGATCCCACCCATAATATTTCCCATTACCGATCCCAAGGCCGAAGTGGCGGTATAAGTAACGAACGCGTAAGTTCTCTTTTTACCAGGTGGAAAGGTGGAGCTTAGGATTCCGACCGCGGACGGAACCGTTGCGGCGCTACCGAGCCCCTGCAGCGCTCGTAAGATGTCAAAGACAATTTCGCCGGGGGAGAAGGGAATCACGACGGTAATGATGGTGACAAAGATCGAACCATAAACGAAAAAGATTCGCCGGCCGTAGATATCTGCAAGACGACCCCAGAGAAGTAGAACACAGGCAAATGCTATATTGTATGATGACGTGATCCATTGTTGTCGGTTCGGGGGTATTCCGAGAGCTTCGCTAATGGATGGCAACATAATCACAGCAGATTGCACAAAGATAATCTTTTTGGTAGTAAATTAGTATTACGAAATATAGAGGATGGTTAACAATTGAGCTACAAACGTACATTAAGGAAACCAGCTCCGGCCAATGTTAGCACCAAAGCAATTTCTCTCGCCGTGGACAATAGTTGTGCCGGTGGCTGATCGCTGAGATCTTCCTCGCTCGATACCGGCGTGACTTTTTCTTTGGCAGACTTCTTCATCTCCAGGTTGCCAACAGGGCTCTCTGATCTCTGTTGTTCAAACATATCTACCGACGTAAACGAATGCGGTAAGAAAAGAATGTGCTGCACAAGGGCAATGTGTCTATGTTCACCTTCATATCTGAGGGAAAAACTAGATATATATATGATTTCTAATAGTAATTGCCATGATTTTGTGCCAATTTCTTTCGAGGTAAGCACCTAGTCATCAACGACTAAAGGCTTTTAGATTGTACATTTTGAAGGCATATTAATGGCCAAGATTAAGTGGGAGCCTCCATTATCACGAGTCCCATAGTCTGGGCACTGCCAAGTTAGGGTTCAAACGGCCATTTGCTTACATGCATATCATGATAAATACCTAGTTTACTGTCTAGGCTCAAGTTCTTCTAATCTTCCGAAGTGTATACCGTAAAGTTTGTCTCACCGTCTTGGCCCCGAGCTCTATATTACATGAGTAAACAATCTGACTGGTGGCAAAATCAGAGCGGTGAGACAGACATAGACCGGTATTTGGTAAGATCCAGGCTAAGAAGTGACTGTATCAAGATGACTACGTGAGCTCAAGAACCAAATATAGTCTTTAATAATATCGCTTGAAATCAATTCTGAAGAACTGCATTATTTCCTATTAGAATATCCAGAATAGTGTCAAATTTAGAATGAAAATATTGAATGATTAAATTTTCATTGAATTTGATAATGATTGAGTTTTGCTAGGTTTCGACGAGGAGATCCTTTGGGTCTCTAGTCCAGACCTCCATAGAATACCCGCGCTCACGTACTTGTGCAGCCAAGAAGTGAGCAACCCGTGCCTGATTAGAGTCAAATAATTGCGGGGAAATGTTTTAAGAACGTTAAAGGGTATAGTACCCCTCAAATCTATACTAGATATGATAGTGGATTGCCTTGAACCCCACTTTAATAAAGTGAAAAGTGATGAGAAGTAGTTAATTCCATCGGCAAAATAAGGTTCTAACCACCGATATAGCGTCGGAGTTGTTGTACTTTCTGGCTGCAGGGTAGCAATAGGTACAGCACTAGTTGGCCAAAGTCCTCCGTTGCAGGATGTTCAAGAGTTGCACGGACTTCGAAGTTTAACATATTATGTAATTTAACAATCATCTTTCACCAAAGCTTGTGTTCTTTGTTGGACGGAGAACGGATTGTAAAAACCCCCGAATAAATATTTTTGATGGTAATTATGCCGGCAAAAACCGAAGAACTTAATTCACTCGACGTTTTTTAAGCTTTACTTAGATATACCCAGTAGTGGGCCCAGCGCGCCTAGGTTACTTGGGCTGGACAATTACTTCTGCTGGGCGGCAGGTTTCCAAAACGTAAATCAGGTGAATTCCCTACAAGGAAAAGGATAAGCAGGCCCCTGATGCTCTTCAAAAATCTTTCGTTTAAAATGGAATTGCTAAATACACTTCCAAGGCCCGGGACCGGCGAGTTGAGTAAGCGAGATTTCCGGTGAAGCTTACCTATAGCCAGGTCGGGTCAAGGGCACAAGACTGACTCTTGCAAGTAGGAGACCACCTCCTAGGAAGTCAGGTTCTTAACTGTTAAAGGAAATCAGCAGGGTTATGAGAATATAATACGTTATTCTTCATTGCTCTTAATCTTATAAAGTTATCACTCTTATGTTTAAGTCTCTACTTCACTATCTGGTGGCCCTCCTGGGATCCTAATAGTTTGCTATATATAGCCTGCTAGCTAAAGCAGTCAGAGATCTTACATAAGTTCTCTGATTTCACGTGAATAATTCAAATAGTAAAGTAGCAGGACTTTAGAGCGTTTTGGTAGCTATTCAGCCTTAAGATCAAAACTTCAATCTAAATAACGATTGAAAACTACTATATTCCAAGTATAATTGCCAATAATTGTGTTCAAATACTAAGCTTTCAACTATTACAAAAACAAAGTTGAGAGAATAAGCACTTGTAAAATGATGAGAGAGGAGTTACAAAATCTCACACCCATCCGACCGTTTGAAACTCCACTAAAATAATATCCTCCTCATAATAGTAAGCTCGATGGGTAACAATCTGACGGATACACTAATACATCCCCGAATTAACCAATAAGCATTCTAGATCGGCAAATCCATACAACTCCCGGATATATCAAAATTTTCATGATCCACATGTATCAAATCGCCCCCTGGCTAGTTGTACGGATACACACCTAATCTTATCAATCTTTTAGAAATAGAATGAAAGATTTGTTTCTAGATCATCATAACGCTTCTGCCGTATATTAATTACGATATGGATGGAACTGCCGTTTTCTGTTTAGCTTACACTCGTGCTGATTGCGTCGATGATAATAAAGTTTTCTATCGTCTGCCTTGAACTATCGATCCTTGTATTGGGAGTATAATCAAGTTTTGCTATAATATGAGAGAAATAAAAGCCAGCTCCACTACTGCAGTGTTTTACATGGCATCATCAAGTTGGAAAATGATCCTTGAAAGTTTGTTTTTCTCTCATCATTATCCGTTTAAAGCGACGGAAAAATTCCTTCACGTTATAGCGGGTATGGATGCTCTAACTCTGTGCATCGGGTGCTGCTCCGGCGGGTCAGCCGGAGTGATTTGATTATAAGCATGATGAAAGAGATCCACCGCATTGAGAAATTCAAGGTTTGCTAGGGGATCACTGCCGTTGTTGATGTATAAACTTCGTCCTCCATGTTAACATAGATTAAGGTTTTGTATCCAACTCGTGCAGCCAGAGAATATACAACTCAGAAACCCTATGCACATACCAGAAGATAGTAATCTCCAAAACGACTAAGCTAGTTTTATACTTTCTGGTAGCAGAGTAGATTTCCGGGGAAAAAGATTACTTGGCTTTGAGTCCGAGGCACAACTGTGCGATGTTCTGCCAAAGATGGCGAGCTTCAATTGTTGAAAACAATAGCAATGATAATATCGAATGATGACGATTCGACCCTTTTAACTAATTGGCCGACCTGTTGAATCCACTTGGAATATCATTTATACTTGGAGTATTGAGTACAATGTACGAAAAATACAGGGAAAGGAAGAGTGTGAAATGTATAAAGAGCTAAATACCCTTTATAATTCTCCTATGTAATCTCCAGTCTCCAAGTCTTGAACATATTCCAGATCCTTATGGATAATAAAACCCTAATTTCTCCCCCAGTTCTAGGGTATAACGCTCGTACGTGGTGGGGCTCTCCATCCTTCTCATCCAGACTTTCCTCCCGTTCCTCATCGGCCTTCATAAGTCTCTCTTCCACCTTCTCGAAGTCGTCGCAGAATTTCTCCGCGGCCTCTTCGGTAATTTGTCGCACCAACATACTATTTTGCAGATCTTTAAGATTCTCCATCGCGTCCATTAATGCCGAAGGTAGGAAATCATCTAGGGTTTGAGAGGCTTGGATTAAAGATGCAGGTTGGAATACTGGGTGATCTCTAATATCCGTGGTGGCGGACAAGGCTTGTAGGAGCGGCTGTAGAGCAGACTTTTCAAGGAAGAAGATATATTGGTGGTCTATGAGAGTGGCGGCGTGTTCTTCTATTGTATCTTTGATTTGTGAAACGCGGGAGATAGTGAAGTCGAAAGGTGCGAGGGTCGCTCGGGCGGATAGGAGGCAGTTTATTGTGAAGATTGTACTTCTAGGAGCTGAGAGATCCTTTGCGACGTTTTCGCTGCCTTTCATGAAAGGGTCGAATGCTTCGGTGAGAATGGGCTCAAAGCCAGCTTCTCGGGTCTCCGGAGATGTGAAGGATGTTTCATATGTTTTCATGATGGCAGTTAATTGTTTCAAGCCTTCATGCAGGAAATCGGGTGGACTGAGATTAGGAGGGGCAACCTGGGTTTCGGCTTGGAGGCTGGTGATATGGTCGCGCATTAAAGCCCGGAATTGGCGTAATGCCGACTCTTCAAGGGTCGCAAGAGAGTCGAGAAGAACTGAGTCGTCTCCGAGCAACCTTTGGAATGTACCGCGGTAGAAATTCAACAGGTTTGCTATTTTGTATGCCATTATCGTCTCTTCATGACTTTGTATCACTTGGCCAATTTTTTGGCGGAGAACCCGCGCAACACCTGCTACATCTCGATCTACTAATTCGTTGAGAGCTTTCAAACCATCAAAATGGCCAACCTCGTCCTCGCTTTCAGCTATACGATTCCAAGGCTCACTATCTAGCCCTGCTTGTATCCCTTTTGCGATCTCATCGCCGTCTGAAATGAAGAGGACTTCAAGAGCTTCTCTCTCACCTACCGTAGCAGAATGAGTCCAGGCCAGCATGTCCCCTACATAACGTAGTGGGTCATGAGCTACTAATTCGATTGGTTTTATTGAAGGATCTTCGTCACCTCCAACGGTGGTCCCAGTCAATGCAGTATAAAATCCATCCGAGAGTATATTCTCCCTTGCTTCAGCAAAAAAGTCAAGACAACTTTGGAAGAGCGATGGCCGTTCTGCTAGTACGCGAAGGGCGCGGCGGATTGAAGAACTTATCTGTGGATTTTCCAGATTGAGTGTCTTGAACTCTCTTTGTATCCATCGATAAAGTTTTTGAAAAGCACCATTAATATTCTTTGAGGTTTGTTCCATAATTTCCAATCCCAGGCGTTGATTTTCTGTCCCAAGTAAAATCTCACAATCATTTTGAATTTTCTTCGCTCTACTCAGAATGGAGAAAAATCTATCATTCACAGGCTCAGCGGTTGAAGTGAGCATTGCAATATCATCATCGGACATAACAAAATGTGCATTAAAGGCATTTAACAATTCCTGCTTTGCTTGCATCTGTTCCTGCTGCTTCATGAGCTCGGAAGCTTCCTGTAAGACCGGAGCTGTTTCTTGATGAGCAGCTGAAATGTGCCGCTTCATCTCTTCGCACCCTTGATTGAGAGTAGCAATGGTAAGGCCAATGCGTTTAAGTTGCTATATTTGAATGAGATGAGAGTTCTGAACACAGGAGGAAGAAGCCTCATACCTCGGCAACATGGCCAAATTCACGAATTATGTCGCCATTACTTTCAATAACCTCCCTGTGAACATCTAACCTCAACTGTCGTCTAGTCTCAGCAGTGTTTTGTATACCTCGTTTGTCTAACAAGGACAGAGCATCTCTGATATCTGAATCGGCATAAGATGCGGAAAGGACACTCGTGACTTTTGAAGATAATGGATTGGTTCGTGATGCCAAAGGACTCCCAGGAGAATCTGCCCCGTCACTAAAACCTGAATATGATTGTTTGCGAGTAAAATAATCAGTCGTCATGATTCGCCAGATTTGTGTACAACTTTTCTCTTATCTTTGAGATTATTTCAAACATTCGCTGTTTTGATTGTCTCGAACACAAGTCCCAAGATCTTCAAGATCTCTCGTGGGTATAAATGCGCTAAGCCACTTTAAGTTGATAAGAAAGCGGTCAAACCGGCAGATAATCGAGCTGCCATATCGCCTGGAAGTGGGCGTCATTCACCTACTATCTCGTGCTCTCTATTTTAACTACACCTTTTGAAACCACCGACATAATTCAGCTGACCTTGGAGATTTGTTGACCGTATGCCTGGATTTCGCCAGTCATGTATCATATTTAATATTCTATTTGATCTTACAACCACTCGCATGGTCATTTTCTGTGTTTGACCGTTTTCAGCCGACATCTGCAGCCCTTTGCAATCTTCAGTAGAAGCCAAAAAGTCTAACTCGCATGCATTTATAGAACTATCTTGCACATACATAGCTTGGCCAATCTGAGTGCCTCTCCTCATAATGATGGCTTCCAATCTTATCTCACGGCTTCTACCATCAAATACACAAGGACGATCGATATATGATTCATTACGTGCTCACGACGAGGCATCCGGATCGGATATGGACGTAGAGGAACGAGCGGCAATGGCAATCGATGAAGAGAATCTAAGATTTAAGGATGATGAGTTAGGAAATCCAGCAGATGTAATCAGCGGCGAGTCTGTCACAGAAAGTACGGCATTTCTGTCTGATCAACAACAGACACCTCAGAAACAGGGTTATAATCGTAAGGGGAAAGGCAAAGGTCGCTCACATAATTTGGCAGAATCGCCAAGGTTACTTGAAGAAGATTCAGATGATGATGTGCCTGCCTCATTGTTGATCGAGGGAAATAATCGACATGCTGATCCGGAGACTCCAAACCACATCCGAGCAAGGCAGACGGCGCTGCCAAAGAGAGCACCTGCAGTACCGGGACCATCCGCACAACAGATAAAAGAAGAAAGAGATAGAGCTCATTGGGAGATGACGCAGGAACAACAGAAATTACATGAAGACGGCGGAAATAGGGCGACTGGTGTGCCGCACACACCACAGTCTATCCCTCAAAACACCGGATTTTACTTGACAGGCAGTCCGAAAGATAAAGCTATGTATCGATGGGTCAACGTAACAAATCTAGATAATTTCATCGGAGATCTATACGCTTATTTTGAGGGGGCGGGAATTTGGTGTATAGTTCTCGCCAAAGTCATTGACATCCTGTAAGTCCATCCGTCTAAGGTGAAGGCAGCCTAAACTAATTATTTTTTCCTTTTTTGCTAGCACACTTGTTTTTGTAGCAGTATTTACGACTTTCCTTACACAATGTGTAGACTATAAAAAGATCTACCGCGGCGATGCTCGCAGCTTGGAGTACGCGTTAGTTCCACAATGTACAAAGAAGATATCCGGAATGTCGAATGTAGCAATTTGGCTAGTCTGCCTATTTGTACTCTATAGAGTATATCAGCTTCTGACGGATCTCCCGAGGCTTATGAAAATGCGTGACTTTTTTACCTATCTTCTTGAGATACAAGATAGCAATATGCAGACTGTATCCTTTCAAGATGTTATTGCTAGGTTAATGGCTCTGCGAGACGCAAATCCCATGACAGTGGAGAGGATTTCGCCGGATAATCGGAAATTTGTCTTGGGGACTCAATCAAAACAACGACTTGATGCCCACGATATAGCCAATCGTTTGATGAGGAAAGAAAACTACCTTATTGCCCTGTTTAACAAGGAAATTCTGGACCTTACTCTACCCCTACCATTTCTGCAAGGCCGACAGCTATTTTCAAAAACCTTACAGTGGAACTTAGAGTGGTGCATATTAGACTTTGTCTTCAATGACTATGGTCAGGTCAGACAATTGGTTCTGAAAGATTCTCATCGGCGAGAGTTGAGCGATGGGTTGCGGAATAGATTCCTTTTCGCTGGTTTAATGAACGTTATCTGTGCTCCGGTCATTGTCATCTATGTGGTGATTGTGTATTTCTTCAAATACTTCAATGTAATTTTTGCCCTATCTTCGAACCGTGAACGCCAGCTAACTAGAGATTTAGCAATATCATAAAAATCCCGCTGCTCTCGGCTCACGGGGATATACGCCTCTTGCGGAGTGGAAATTTAGGGAGTTCAATGAGCTTCACCATTTATTTAACAAGCGGTTAAACATGTCTTACCCTTTTGCATCACGGTATCTCAATCAATTTCCAAACGTGAAAACGGCCCATATGGCTAAATTTATAACATTCATGGCCGGAGCCGTTGTTTCCGTTTTGGTAGTTGCCACGGTCTGGGATTCTGAAGTTTTGGCCGGATTTGACATCACCTCGGAGAGGCCGGTATTATTCTACATAGGAGTCTTTGGATCGCTCTGGGCTATCACAAATGGTATGATACCAGAAGAAAATGAGGTTTTTGACCCCGAGTATGCACTCCGGCAAGTGATAGAATATACTCATTACATGCCCAACCACTGGCAAGATCGACTCCACAGCGACGAAGTTAAACGCGAGTTTTCCACGCTCTACCAACTTAAACTTATGATTTTCATCGAAGAAGTATTTAGCATCATAATTACTCCATTTCTGTTATGGTTCAGCTTGCCAAAGTGCGCCGATCAGATCATTGACTTCTTCAGAGAATTCACAGTTCATGTTGATGGTGTGGGATATGTTTGCTCATTCGCCGTCTTCGATTTCAAGAAGGGAGATGGTAGAGCTCCGACACAAGGTAAAGCCAAGAGCGACATGCGAGAGGATTATTATTCCACCAAGCATGGAAAGATGGCCGCCTCATACTATAACTTCCTGGACAACTATTTGCTCAATCCAAAAACAGGTGTACCAGGACATAACCCACCAGGATTGCGACAACAATTCTATCCTCCTCCAGCCTTTCCAGGTTTGATTTCGTCTCCCACATCGGGTGCGGATTTGCAGAGCTCAAGGATGGGACGAAGTGATGTAAGGCCCATGAATAGAGCACCTTATGTTCCACAGCAAGCAGTTCGGACACCTCGATTCCCATCTAATACTACTGCTACTGGATCTCCTATGGCCTCCATTCTTTTGGATCCACGTCACCAACCGCCATCATCTGAATTGGGAGCTCGTAGTGTTAGACGAAGTTCTCGATCACGATATCAAGCTCGTAGAGGAAACAATATTATTGAAGATCCGATGGAGGACGAGAATGGACCAGGCCGACCCGTCGCTCAACCTGGAAGATCTTATGCAGTCGATGACACAGTTGCAAACCTGGGTGAATCCACTTGGGAAGTGTCTCCAGCAAAGGCAGACGCTGACGGTCAAGATGAGGAGGAAGATGGTGATGGTACTGGAGGAGCTGGAGTCTTAGGACTTGTGTATCAATTTCAAAAGGCGCAAACAAATGGTAGACCCGGAGTTAGCATTTGGTAGTGAGGGATTATGAAGGTTATGGAGTCTGAGGCATTTTTGGCGAAAGGGAAGATATATGCATGGTATCGGCCGGAGCCCCTGGGTTTGAAGCGAAGCCACTTGCAATATGAGCATATTTTAAGCATGAAATTTTGACATCAAATATCATATCATTCAACATTATTTGAAGAAATACGAGTGCCCTGATCAGAATATCAAATACATACACAATTGGGTAAATATGATGGCCAGTGCTAACTAATATTGATTGATGTCGTTGAGAAAATGACTCACAATAGTAAGAATACAACCTAGGTCTCATCAGAATAGATACTAGGTAGTGGAAGTGCTGTAACAATAATCTTAAAATTGTCCCCGGAGACACCGAATACAAAATACAAACACCAAAGTCGAGATTTCAAGCCTCTTTCTTCAAGCGATGTCCTCAATTCAGCCATCAAGTACTAAAGGCTAACAATTTCATCAGCATTCCCGAAATACAATCCCGGGGAGGTTATGATGGGAATCTGCCAGAATGGCATTCTGAACTGGCATTGAAATGGTATTCTGCAGGAATGGCATGATGAAAGTTTTAGGATTATAAGATGTTTGGGAAAAAATATGAAATGTCGTACGATGATGATGCCGATGATGCCATGGGCATTGATAAGGCTCAGGCTAAGGCTGGCTCCCGTGGTGTTGGCTAAGGTTACCCAGGGATCTTTCTATTTTCGGGACCGTGCTTGGGCTTTGTTGCACGCCTGTGACCGTTGTCTTTCTGTCGCTAAATGGATTTTCCCTTTGCTTCTACGCCTTGTTTGCTGCGAACCTGATGCGCGAGCTGTGAAAGGGGAAATGCCCCAGTAACCGATTAGCTGGGTAGGGAGGGGTCAGTTGGTTGGAAAATCTAAATCTAAATCTAAATCTAAATCTGAATCTGAATCGTATTGCTACTGTACCTACATACTTAGATACCAAATAACCGGATCGCTTCACAATCAGTTTGTTTAGGAGAGAGAAAAAGACAAATGTCTCTCTGGATATATTAATTCATACAGTCGCAGAACCCGGAACATATTGCATAACTTTGGTAAGCTTATCTTCCTTCTTGACAGATCTAGATAAAGTAGTATTTTCACTCGGTAGAAAGGATCCGAGAAGTCAACGAACAGTGAGCAAGGCGGACAGGCAATAAGCAGAAAATCCGATCAAAGGCTGCGAAAGCGGAGGGAGAGAAAGACAAAGAATTCGAATTTTTCAATGGTAATACGTAATATTCAAATGCATATTAGATAGGAGTATATACTATATATATACTATTACTCCGGATACTTGATATACTGGCAGGACATTTCTCTTTCCGAGGATATTCACTTTCCCGGACTAGGAACTATTCGTCGGACGTTTGTAAAAGCCGTTTATTACTCAAATTTATCTATTTTGTCTTGATTCACTTATTATTGCTCCATATAAGCAATTTATCTATATCAATTCGCATTTATATTTGTGTTTTAGTTCCCGTTGTGATTATTATTTGTAGTTCGTTTTCGGAAATCAGAAAACCCTCACAAAGTCTTTGAAATTTATTATTCTTTCTATCTTCTAATTATAGGATATAAAACAGATTGGATTTCCTTTTATATATAATATAAAAGCCGTTTCTTGTTTCAACCTCTGTATAAAGCTCTTTCGGTCCCGATTTCGTTAGCAATAACCCCTGTTCATCCAAGAAACAAACATAGCAGCAAGCATCAACCACTTTTTTAATTTTGCTTTCAACTTTCAACCTATATCTGCCAATCAGTCCGCCACCCCTCCTCTTCCCCTCAACCTCAACCACAACTCGATCGCAGAAATATTCTATTAGGTTAGAAGTTTCTCCATTTCCACACTTGGAATCTTCATCGAACTGCGACGTTCATTGTTGATTCTACGGAAGTCGACAACCTGGCTCTTCAATCAGCTCAAGTTGGAGGAGGATCTGCGGTGTTAGCCCAAATGGCTAAGCCGGACGCAGAGCCTGTGGAGGCATTTGAGGAGTATGTGTTGATGCTATGAGAGCAATTGGATCTTTTCTTACATCTGCTTGCAGGCGCAAAATACTGATACCGTGTTGGCTAGTTATGAATCTCTCCCACCAAATTTTTCGTTGATTCAGAATATGGCCGCGGGCGCCTTTGCCGGAATCGCGGTACGCTCATGAGACCTGCGGAACTCTATCCAATTGATATTGATCGACCTATAGGAACATACGGTTATGTATCCGATCGATGCTATCAAGGTATATAAGAATTGTCCCTCGGATGGAGGCAAGAGGCGATATTGACATGACGCAGACCCGAATGCAAATCCTCAACCCCACCCCATCCGCCGTATACAATGGTATGATACAAGGAGGATACCGGATAGCTACTGGAGAGGGGCTTCTCAGTTTATGGCGCGGAATGTCAAGTGTGGTTGTGGGAGCTGGTCAGTTTCGGTCAAATCGGATAAGCGCGGAAAAGTACTGATAACATTTTAGGACCCGCACATGCTGTTTATTTTGCTACTTATGAAGCTGTGAAACATCTTATGGGAGGAAACAAAGCTGGTGTTCATCATCCTCTTGCTGCTGGTTTGTTTTTGTGAAGGCCTAAATTTGTTATTATCTCCTAACGATCGATAGCTACTAGTGGAGCTTGCGCAACCATAGCTAGTGATGCCCTCATGAATCCTTTTGATGGTATGATATATACAATGCATCTTCTACAAGTTTTATATCACTGACACTCTATAGTTATTAAACAGCGTATGCAAATGCATAATTCGAAAGTAATGTACAAATCAATGTTCGATTGTGCTAGATACGTCTACCGAACCGAAGGTCTTACCTCGTTCTACGTTTCCTACCCTACCACACTTTCCATGACAGTTCCTTTCACTGCTCTTCAATTCCTCGCATACGAATCGCTGTCGACCGTTATGAACCCTACCAAAAAATATGACCCATGGACTCATTGTACAGCTGGTGCGATTGGAGGAGGTTTCGCAGCTGCGCTTACAACCCCTATGGATGTGGTTAAGACTCTATTACAAACTAGAGGAACGGCTAGGGATGCAGAACTGAGAAATGTCAGTGGTTTTGTGGAAGGGTGTCGAGTTATTCATCGAAGAGCAGGTTTGGCCGGATTTTTCAAGGGTGTTAAACCAAGAGTGATTACTACTATGCCAAGTACTGCTATTTGTTGGTCTGCATACGAGGCTTGCAAGTAAGTGTTTCCACGATTTGAAATTTTTAGCTCATACTAACAAATCCAAAAGGGCTTATTTCATTAGGCAGAACGATATGGATGTTTAATATGTTTCGGTTCTAAAATTGCCTTTGGCGAATCTCCTTAATGGGCGTAATCGGATGCGATTATGCGGACACCACATACTACCAAAATGTCGAAGTGTAGTCCGAAAACTGCTGCAACTACAATCACATGGATGTGATCTCGTAAATGTGGGAGCGATCGGACGCTAGATACTAGTGATGTCATTCCGATAGCTCGACATACCGCCATGTTAAGATTAAAATTTCTTGTTGCGAGTAACGATGGACGATCTGTACATAGAATATCTTTCCTTTTTCCTTCTTTTTTGCCTAGATTTTTTGTTTTATGGTATGATGACATGCGTGTGTGCATGGAATGCTTTGAGATATCTCTTGAGAAAAAGCCATCAGAGATGAAGATGACACCGAAGGGGATATTTGTGAACGAACTTTGACTGGCGTTTCATCTAGCGATGGATTGATATGCTAGGTAGAAGGATGGATTTGCATTGAGTGGAGAAAAGAATGGATGGATGAGAAGTGTGGCGCGAGGTGTAGTGGACAGGCCGTTGCTGAATGTTGAACGGCTTTAGAATGGATGGCTGAGCGTGCATGTCTTGTGTGATGGATGGGATTATTTATGTTGGTCGATTTGTACTATATCAAAATATCATTCGAGTGATGTGAGGAGAGAGAGAAAAAGGATATGAGAAAATTTTAAGTGGTTTTGGTGTAGGTGTACAATGCGAAATGTAAAATGTGATGTTATTTGATATTAGGGATGGGAATTTGTGTTTATTTTTTGTTTTTGGGGGGAAAGGGGAGGGAGGTTTATTTTTTTCTTCTATAAGAACTGTAAGTCTGAGAATGAGATGAATAGAGTGAAAATGAATGATCGAGATTCTCAATTTAAAGGTAAAATTACTAACCTAAGGAAGGAAAAACGATTATAAAAGGAGAAGAGAAGAAAACAGGAACAGAAAATCCTCCGAATCGCCTAAATTCTTAAGCAAGAGTTTAGGGTGAAGGTTATCGTGGTGATACTAGGTAGATGTGCAAGTGCAGGTGTAAGCGCAAGTGCAAGTGCAAGTGCAAGTATAAGTGTAAGTGTAGGTGTAGGTGTAAGTGCAGTTGTAAGTGCATTTGCCAGGCAGGGGAAGCGGGGGGGATGTATTTATGTGTATTTATTTGGTAGGGAGTCGGCTGATTAGGGATGGGAGGTGGGAGATGGGGATGTGCTTTGCGAATGCTGATGGTGTATAGTAAGACCAAGACCATGCATGCATGTATGTGTGTGATTTTATGGTGAGTTATGAATGATTTTATGGTGCTGTGTGGGTGGTTTGGGCCCGGTTTATATTGATGGATGTGTGGATTTGGGGTTTGCGGTTCTTGGAGCTGCGGTTTGAGGTTTTGGGTGGGGGGAGGGGGGAGGGCAAGGAGGGAGGCTTTCCGTGTTAAGTTCACGCGGGGTGAAGATGAATTGTGAGATTGAGTAGTTTGATGAGGTTACGGGCTTATAGGATTGACAGGTTTATAAATTATGGGATTTGTGAACTGAATGATAAAGTTGTCGTTGTGTTCATCGAGAAGGGAAATCAATGTTCGATTTAAACCACGGATTTTCTTTTCCTGCAATTCCTCCCTTTTCCTTTCTTGCATTTTCTCTTCCTTTTTTCCTCTTTGCGACAACGTATATTAGATGATGATTTATGAGATTGGATGAATAGATATCAAGGACTCATAGTAGTGTTGTTGTGGTTGTGAAATGCGCATATGGGGAGATTGTGAGTGGAGAAATTATGTGTGAAGAGATCATGTGTGAAGAACAAAGACCTTAGAGTCATGGTTGTAGTCATAGTTTACGAAGTCGGACTGTAATTACTAAGATTGAGAGTATGAGTGACTGGTGGGGCTCAGGATTTTAATATATTGTTTCTTAAGAAGTATTCGACGAGGCAATTCAGTGAGTGGTAGAGTTAGCTTCGAGTCAATTATGGCTTTTCTAATGATTTTTCGGGTTATTCATAAGAGGAATTAATCTGAGTTCTGGGGTTGTATAAATTTTTTTCTTGGTTTTGTTGTGGGATTTATTGCTTCCTCTTTCCAATATCATCAATATCAGAGACAACATCCAAAACAATACTCAAATCAATATTCAATATCCAAGTCAACACCTAAGTCAATATACAACTCAAACCGATATACATTCTAAAATGTCAACGAAAGATACATTTCGAGAAATAACAACGACGGGTATAGATGATGATTTGTCTGCAACTCATATGTTTCTGGAGACACAGCTTACGACTGGTGGGGGAATCAAGATATGGACTCCGAAAATAGAGTCCGGTACTACGATCACGGCAGGTAATAAAAGAGGTGCGATGTATGCTAGCGATCATCCTGTGTCGACGCATGGAGCGACAGATCTGGGAGATGCAATGTACCCGGAAGGGACGCGGACGACTGTGGATAAGAAAAGAGATACGAGTAGTGCAGTGCGTTTCAAAAAGACTACCAAGGCTACCTGTAAGGCAAGAGATGGTAGTATGGTTCGCATGCGTACCATAGACACTCGTGTTTCCAGAAATGTTGAGGAGAGGAAATGTGAGGAGGGCGAGATGGGCGGGGCTACGGATCGGGGAAAGGAGGGGGATGCGCGAAAGAGGTGAAAGATGTAGATCAGGTGTGGATATAGAGTGAGAGGGAGAAGGGGGATGGAAGGCAGGTGAGATAAGGTATAGCAAGCAGATTGGTAAAGTAATAGCAAGGAATGAAGGTAGGAGGATTATGTTCCACAGTCGAGAAAGTTCAGCTCGCAGTGTTTGAAGTTCGGAATGGGCTGGTCCTTTGATCTTCGGAGCTTTGAATACTTCTAGATTGGTAGATGAGGATATTTACTGGGGGGAGTGGTGATTTTGATGGGGTTATACATGTTACTCAAGGCTAGAAACTATAATCGATGATGTTACGTTTATATTCATCTTCTACTTATTCACTGTTCCTTATATGCTTCTAAGTTCTTGCCTATTCTACTGGTGTCAGAGTCATCTATATAGATATGTAATATGATGAATCGGTGTGAACGAGTCATATTTTTGTATTTAGATATCAAAAGATTGTATAATTATGACTCGTTGAAATGAAGCTTCGAATCATGTTCAAAGAATTATCAATTGAAGCGGGATTATTTATATTTAAAAATTATGAATAAAACAGATTTATATATCAGTCATACTTCCTATGCCACCGTGTACTTAGGTGTTTCCCATTTGCCTTTTGGTATTGTTCGTTTTTACTTCTTTTTCTAATCAATATCAAAGCCAATACTAAACCACTATCAATAACCTTCAAATCCATAAACTCGATCCAAATATCCAAATCAATATTCAAACCATCCAAAATAAAATTCAAGTCAAACATCCAACCCAACTTCAACCCAGCAACTCGAATCGGATATCGTAGTTAGTATTCAACCCATCAAATCAATATTCAAACGTACGACCAATAATCACCCGAACACCAAACCGAGAGATGTCTTCCAAGTCAAGTCAACTACCAATTCGTGAATACAACAAGTAAAGGGAGAATGACAGCGAGTGTCAGCAGTACGGAGAAAGCGCAACTCGAGCCAGCGAAGCTCGAGCTAGCGACAATGATTTTCAATGTCGGGAAACTGACACTAGCAATGAAAATCTAGATAAGTGCATGCCATTGAAGAAAAAGCACAGGGCATCTAGACGTAAGAAGTTTGAAGAGGAGGCAGAAGAGGATAAAGTGGTTGCGAATAGAGTTTATCATAAGGTTGGTGGCTCTGGTGGCGGAGAAGAGGATAATGAAGCCAAAGAGTTGGAGCAGAGAAGAGCCCGTCTTATTGAGGAGAATAGGGCAGCAGAAAAGGAAGAAAAAGGGAAACAAAGAAATATGGGACATTATTTTGAGGAAGATTAGGCATGGCTGGCATTATGACTTATGGATGATCATGAAGAATTTAAATCTAGAAACTAAAATCGATGATATTACATACCCGCGATTTTCGAGTCATCTTTCGTGTGTGATTCAAGATTGATGAGTTCCACCTCATGATTTGTGATTAGTTTTATGATTCCTTCATTTTTAATATGTATATTAAGGACTCATATATCTTCCACATTTTGCCTACTTAGGAGATCCACCTCCCACCAATTTCTACTTCCCTTTTCAATATCAATATCTACATTGAAAGTCCATCAAGATACAAATATCCTATCAATATCAAAGTTTCTAGCAAACATCACAATCCCACCTAAAGTTCATCCAATAAAAATCCAAATATGTCTCGCGCTGGAAACTTCGTCGAAGGATTGGACCATCATGCTTATCGAACCGGACAATCAGATTTTGCTGGAGAAGACCAACCACATCGAGGCCAGGAACGTGTCTATGAGGATCCATATTCGGATAGGGTACTCGATACTCGCGATACAGATCTTGATCCATTTCATGATACCCCGTCTGGAACTTCATATGTCGGAGGTGCTACTCAATATTCTGACCCTCAGGAGTAATATCAACAAACTCCACCTAGTTTGGATTCACGACTGCGTGCGTGCGAGAACTATATAACATCTCGTAGATCAAATTTCACTCTCACACCTCGACAAGCTCCAACACATCAACACTCACCGTTTCGTGTGAACAAGAGAAATTCCATGCATGATCTACATCGTAGAGCAGGTTATCAGAGATATACGTCACATCCACGCTCACTCCTTCCTGTCCACAATGCATCTACCTCATCTAGTAGTTCATATTCTGGCACCACATCTCGACGACAGGCAGCACTCCAAGCCTCGCTTTCCCCTACGAACAGCGGATCTACCTTCAAAAATTCGTATTCTGGAGCTGGATATCAGGAAACTCCACCAAGTATTAGTGTGACTGAATCTCCACCTATTACGCGTCAAGCTTCTCTTCAGACTGTGAAATCCCAATCTTATCTTTCTCCAGCAGATCCTACTGGTTCTCTACTCGGTAGTGGCCAAACATTTGAGGCCCCACCGCCAACATCTGTGCATTACACTGGTAGCAGATCATCAGCCCCGTACGCCGCTACTCATGAAACTGGGAGAATTCGGGAGGGCGTCGACTATCATCGAGATAATCCGTTTCTAAGGCACGATAAAGCTCAAAATTCAAAGGTATCATACGTGCGGGCACAGGACAGAGAATCTTGAATAGAACAACTTACAGGAGATTTAGGAAATATGTCGATGAGTTCCGAAAACGCCGTAAGAAGAGGGGAACAAGGGTATGGAAGATGGGAGACCAAATAGTAAAGCTGATAGGAGAGAAGGAAATATGGTGATAGATCAGGGATATTTGTCATATTGGTAGCTACCAGGGAACATGTGCAATGGGTAAATGAAATTTAATGAATGATAGTTAGACTTAAAAAGCAAATCGATAATATTACAACTCCAAAACTTCCGAGTCATTTTTCGTGTCAAATCCACTCACATAGTAAAATTTGAACAAATATCAAAGATTCATAAACCGCCCAGATTTTGTCTGTAAAGAACCCAGCTTCCGTTCATTTTCGTTGTTCATTTCCCTTTCTCTTCAACCATAATCCGCTAACTTTATCAGCATTAAACCTATACTTTTGAAATTAAATTTGTATTAGAACTTAAATCTTATAAACTCGATACTCGAAACTCAAATCACTATTCAATCAATATCGAACCTAAAATCAAAAACGGAAACTGTGTGAACGAAGTGAATGACTTCAATTCAATTACTACTGTAATAAAGAACTAAGCGAACGCGAAAGAGACTAGCTCTTTTAGTAAGTCTATATAAGACTTACTACTTTCAATATGTAGCTAGCTCTTTAGACAGAATACAATTAGACATACAGGACCTACGTAATCCGTGGGTGCTACGTCTTCCGTATCCTTCTCGTACCAACAGAAACAAAACAAAAAAAAGTCCGACGCCGTCCAACCATGGCATCGACAGGACGAACATGAACTTCCTCCCGATGAAATTGTGGTAATTTGTGAAGATGAAAATGGACAGCATTCAGCGGTGAAAATTTATGAAAATCATACTGGCCAGGTGCTGCATTCATTGACCCACGTTCCGATACCAGAACTCGAGCTTCATATACCGAAACCAATGCTCGATATAGAGACGAACGGCAGGAATATCAACCAGAGCCTCGGCATTTACGTCCTCGAGTTCATAACACACGGAACTTTTACGGTTCATACACAGGGTGGAGTTTCTTTTGAAACTCCACCCTGTCCTAGACTTCGTATCAGACCTACGTCGCATGGTTCATACAGGGAAGCCGCGCCACAACGAGAATCACCACGTTCTCCTACCCTTGCATACACTGCGCCTACAAACCAGCCGGAAACACCGATGCGTTACTTTGATGTGGGAGGAAAGAAATGTCCGTACTACTTCCATCATTGTGACGATTCAGGAATGGGAGTCTGGCGACTTGATCCGCCTCATCGGTCTTCGGATACAACAGGAATTAGGAGGTCCGAGACTCCTCGTCCAAGAGCTCGAGATATTCCGTATAGAAGGCCTGAGGGAACAAGTAAATTTGGCCGATATGTAGATGGTACTGAACTCAGAGTGAGGGAATGGCTGGAAGACGTGGCAAGCCAAGATATTCCAGAAAGTACGAGCACAAGGGACTTGCGGGCAAGTCAAACGGCTAGGCAAAGTGATGCGCAAAACAGGGAAGAAGGGTATCATTGGAGAAGAGATAGGAATCAGTAATCAATCTCATAGATGGAAAAATGAATTTGAGAGGTGGAGAATAAGAGATAATGAATAGTAACTAGGCATAAAAATCAAAAGCGATGATGTTACATTTTACGCTTGTATCCAGACGTGCAAAACTAAAAGGAAATATGATTCACCGCCATATCTCCAATAATTCACTTACGATCACCTGTTTTTGAAGATTCAGAAACTTTAGATATGTTTTTTATCAATATTTTTTATTACTCCTTATAATCTCCAAAATTGATTATTAAAATGGACGCTTTCAATCATCATCAAAATCAACAGTCAAATCAACATCCGAACCAACACTTAAACGAAATGCCACAAGAACTTTCGCGATATCAAAGACGTTCCGAGTCATATCATGCTCCTCACAATGATGTTATCGATGTTAAACTGTATGTTGGGATGCGGATGTACAGTTATGAAGGTTCAAGACATAGAGGAGGGGAGATATTGCGAGTATGCATATTGTTGGACAGTCATATGCCATTGTGAATGATGAATGATGAGTGATTTTCAGAACTAGGACTCAGAGTCGATGACATCAATTTCAAATTTCTATTCAAAAGTGCAAGACACAAGCATATGATTTTTCATCATATCTTTGATTACTCAAACTAGGGATACATGATTTTGAGGACTCATCGGTCCTCAAACTTTGTCTATTTAAGAGCTCATTTTCTTCTGAAAACACTTCTGGTTTCCCTTTCTCTCCATCAACAAGAACCATCAAAGCCAAAACTGTCCATCCACAACCAACATTAAGAAAGATGTCAGACAAACCAGCTCAACGAGGGACCCAACCTATTCCTCAAGGCAGCCGAAAGGACTATAAAGTTGTCGTCCACAACTACAATGCAAGCAATTGGTGCAGATCTTGTAAGGAGCCGCGGATGGAATTCCAAACTTCGGATGTCCCACGTCCGCTCAACTATTCAAGTGACGGGCGAGATTATCAATCAGACCCAGCACAGTCTCCTTCTAGGAACCGCACATTTGCCCCCCCCCCCCCCCCC